AAACTATATACACTGTCGGAAGAAAAATTACTGCAGCAACTGCAGCAGCAGCAGCAGCAGCAGCAGCAGCAATAGCAACGGAAACTGCATGCATCGTCACCATCATTAAGCATCATCATATTCAATAATACTAATATAATAATATTAATATAATAATATTAATATAATAATATTAATATATTAATATTAATATATTAATATAAAAATATTAAAATTAAAATTAAAAATAAAAATAAAAATAAAAATAATCACCAACATGATGATCATCATCACCAGCATATATCACCACCAACAAAAAAAAACATAAACAAAATAATAATATTAATATTAATATTAATATTAATATTAATATTAATAAAGCTAATAAAAAAAAACATAAGCTAACAAAACAATAATAATAAAATTAATATTAAAAATATTAATAAACTAATAAAAAAAAAAAAATATATATATATATATAAGCTCACCACTTGCTGCATGCGTATAGCTCCACTGAGGTTTTCTGCGCCTTTTTCCGTCCATTTAGAGCCGAAGATATCTACCCCCAAGGCAAATACATCATTATAAAGAAAACCAACATAAAAAGCAAAGAAACCCATAAGAGTAAGCATATAACGAAAAGGAAGAAAGCTAGAGAACAACCATCCTTTTTGTTTTATTTTATTATTAAATAATATTAAATATAAACCTAGCAACAATACTATACCCCCATGCCCTACATCTCCATACATAACACCAAATAAAAAAGGAAATGTAACTGATGTAAGAAATGCTGGATTCGCCTCCTCGTAGCGAGGAACACCGTATGTATCCACCTGTATATACACCCCAACAACAACACACAACACACACACCCAGCTGCTCCTCCTGCTGCTGCTGCTGCTGCTGTTGCTGCTGCTGCTGCTGCTGCTGCTGTTGCAGCAGCTGCTGCTGCTGCGTAGTTTAATGGAGCGTTCCTAGAAACTCTGAAGGCGTCTGCATTATCTCTTCTCGCTATTTATTTAATTTCTGTTTGTTTTATTTTTATTTTATAATAATTATAATTAATTATAATAAATAAAATAAAAAAAAAAACAAAAAACTTTATACTTATGGCTCCTCACCAGCATCTGGCTGGGGTCGGTGAACTCTGT